GTCCTCTAATGCATTCAGTTGTGCTACACTGTACCATGCCATGTAGGAAGATAACAGATTTTCCTCAGATGGTTTCATAATGCATTCTGATAAGAAGGTCACATATGTGTGTATACATGTGTTTAGTCATAGACAATTAACTTATGCATGGTACTGAGCAATTTACTAAACAATTTTACTCAGTAACAAGGAAGAAGCAATTTTGGAATGCTCCTTGTAATTTACGATGGCATTATTATTGAGCAAGATTATCATATAGCCATGCAATATCATTAACCATTTAAATTATAGAAGTAACACTACATTTGTGTCATGAATACTTACTAAGTGCCTCATGAATACTTAAGTGGTTGGTTCCTTGAGTGATGGTTAGTGCAGTTAGTCCTAAAGCCATAGGTGAAAGCACTGAGGTATATAACTCCTTAGAATTTCTCAAATCAAACATTAGGGGATTTGTATAATATAAAGGAATAATTTTATCTGAACTATTGTCCATTGCTTTTGTTTGGGAATATCCTTAACTTTAAACTGGAAAACTAAAACTATTAAAAGCTTCGCTGTTTTATCTCATGCCTTCACAGTGACAAAACAAAAAGCAGGCAGATAGAGATCATTGCCCTCTGAAATGACATCCCCAAACCACAGCTGAGGCAGCAGCATCAGGGTGACTCTCACCATCACTCCACCCTACAGCTACAAGGTCACACTGTTCCTCTCCAAACATTTGCAGGGAGGCAGCCAGTCGGCTGTCACAGTCCCTTTGGATGTCTCAAATTTACAGGACAACATACTCTGATTTAAACTTCATTTCATGAGCTCATTAAGAAATAAACATGACAAACAAACATGACAAACAGCTCAATCCCTTTTGCATAGGCTAATCTATCACGTGAATTCACTTATTCACCATTCTAGTCTCAAGGTTTCATAACTTATAACCCATAACTCAATTTGTGCATTGTCCTGGTTTGAGCTACACAGGACTAATTTATCTTCTAATACTTGTGAAAACTGCACTTTTAGAAGACTCTAGCGTCTGAATTTGTGACAATATTTACCTTTAAGCCAGCTACGGTGTGTGCGTTTCAAGGTCTCAGTGTTTTCGAGCTCGCCAGGTGCAGGAATGATGAAGATTGAGACCTGAGCACTTGGCCCAAGCTGGCCAACAGGATTATTTCATACCATGAACATCACAATCAACATAAATTAGAAAGTTTGCTGCAAAGTATCTCTCTCCCTTGATGGCTGCCATCCTGAGAACTTCTTGCTCTGGTGCCAGACCCCTGAGCCCTTCCCTTCCTTCTGAAGCTGTAGCACTCGCAGTGTCCCGTGTTTGCTGCCCACTGCTGGGAGCGCACAGCTTCCTACTGATAGAATTGGCTGAGTATAGTCCCTGTATATTTTGTATTGGTATCAGGATCAATATTGGTTCTTTAGTGCTACTAATGTTAATTATTTATTCTTATTCTATTAAATCTGTTTATATTTCAACCCCCGGGTTTCCTTGTTTTTTCCCCCAATCCCTCTTCCCAGGTGGGCAGGGGTCATCGGGTGATAGAATGATTGTCTAAACAGCAATAAATTGTTATGGGGCTCTCAAACCATAACATGTACCTATGAGAAAAAAAAAAGTTACCTAACCGACAGTGAGAGTGCTCATCCTTCCTCCTCCATAACAGCGTGGGTGTACCCTGTATGACACCAGGAAGGATGAAAGCCTCAGCAGTCCAGCTGCTGTGGAATCCACTTCAAAAGCTTTTTAGGTAAGCTGACTTTTTCTACCTTCCAGCTAGGAAGTCTAGTCTATATCACTTCCATGAGTTAGCAGACTGATAAAACTGCCAGGCAAAGATGGACAGCAACTTGCAGGTCATAATGGCTGCATAACAGCCCTTTAGCTTTTTCTGGCCACCTGCCCTGCCTACGTGGGGCTCTCACTTTGACCTAATGGTGCTGCTCCCAGCACACATCAGGCCTTTGCATGAGCTGTGTTAGCCAAAATCTCAACAGGAGTTGAGTGAACAGTCACAAGTGAGTGTCACATCCATCCTACCTCCATTGCTGCCACAGGGTGTCCTGGGAGAGACCCTGAGGCAGGGCTGGGAAGTCAGGAGAAGGCAGCACAGCTTGGCCATACAGCTGGCCATGAGGCACCCTGGTCCTACCAGGCAGATTCTCACACTTGGTGAAGAAATGTTCAGTTTTGCTAATGCTGCTGAGACCATTGTGTCAGCTCTTACACACCCAGAGGGTGTTGCTCGCTTGCTTTCACAAACCCCTGTACTCCCTAACCTTTGGTGAAGGCCAGGCCCAGACAGCTCAGTGCCAATCCCATTCAACTTGGCACACAATCCACCCAACTTTCTCGGCTTGGGATCAAACCCCAGAAAACTTTTCAGCGCACATCACAGCTCCTTTAAAGGTACTGGCAGCAGGAAGATAAGACAAGCACCCAATGGCTTGGCCAAAGCGGCCGCAGGGCAGAGCAATGTCACCCAGATGCCCTCTGTGTGCATTACCAGTGCGTTGTTTGTGCTACACAGCTATGAGTAGGAGCAGCCCGGCCACATGCTCACCCATCTTTGCCCCTGATACAAGTCAGCTGAGCGCTCCATACTTCTTCATAACAGAGGGCTGAGTGTTTCTCCAGCTAAACAATCAGAACAAAGACTTTTTTAATTATTATTAAAAAGGACAAATGAAAAATAAAAATAGATTTAAAAAAGGACTTGGTCATACCGCAGGATTCATGACCATTTGACAGTTTTGGCAGTAGTTAATTATCAGCAGGGGAAAAAAAATACTGACACAAATACCCCTACACTTAATTCTGATACTCATGTTACACACCAATTTCTTTCAGCTGAGAGCGAACTCACTTTTGAAATGTCTTTATGTCTTTGTAGTGTAAGAAAAATTAATCAAATTCAAGATTAGCAGCGTGGTTTTTATTGAAATGGAATGTTTAATTCAAACAAAAGGCTGTTTGATATTCTTATTTGTAAAGAAAATAGACATACTTGGTTTTGGCTGATGAATAACTATTCCTTTTCCTACTCTTTGAAACTGCCAAAATTACAATGACTAGATAAAAAAAGAAAGAAAAAAAATTAAAAATCACTGTGTGCCCATAAGGCTAATCACCTGCTAATACAAGTCAGCAAGTTATTTTTGCTCCTTCTCTTCCCTGCAGCACCAAGCAGGAAAAGAGGCTCAGTTCAGGGACCTGTCTTCAGGTAACAGTGATCTCTAGATTATGTGCTTATGCCGACCATGCTCTCCCATGCAGACCATCCTATGATTTAAGGTTCATCTAAGGTTCAAATACTTGCAGGATGTGGATGCTTACATTAAACATCACAATCTAAGAGACTCAGAAGCACATAGCACCACAGGCTGAAATCTAGGACCAGAGTTTCCTCAATCACTAAGAATATTTTTTCAAACACGCTACGAAACATTTGGGATTTTCAGAAATCACAGGCTGTGCTCTCTGGCACGGGCATTACAGCACTCCTCACTGATGATGTGCCACAGGCAGGTAGTTTATAAAGCCTTACTACAGGGAGATGCTCACGTGTTCAGAAAAAAACAGCACAAAACGTGGAAGCGCAACCGTGCCTTTAGTTTTAACTTCAGGGAAAGACTTGTAACAAACCAGCAGAACACTGTAGAGGTTTGATATGGTCCCACCTAATGGCATGAAAATGACAGGAAGAGTTTGAGTTTTGTGTAGTTTATTCTTTCGCAAAATCTGAACATTACATTCTTGGAGATCTTGGGCCAGGATCCTCAGTTAGTGTGAGCTATCATTGCTCTTCCAACCATGTATGAATTCCCTGAGAAGCGAGAGACTAACTCTCCAAACACTTCCCATGCTGCCTGCTTTCATAGTCTGCCACCTGACATCAGATCAGAGGGTTTCCTCTCCACTCTTTAGCCCATTCTGTACTTCCTCAGTTTTGATAATACTAGAAAACTTAGTCTGGGATGTGGGACGTAAAGGATTTCCCCCCTCCCCCCGCCCCCAAATTGTTTATACAGTTGTACTTCCTAGGCCCATTTGACCCTTTTCCTCTTCCTTCACCCATCAAGTCCTACATTTTAGCAGAACATCAAAGATGAAGAAATAGTTGCACCCAAGTTATTGTCACTGCAGTTCATTCCTTTTAAAAAGGTTATTATTTTGTACTATTGAGGTTGATTTCTGATAGCCAATTGAAGAAAAAATTAATTCTAGTCCCTTCAAATCTGGAAATGCTCCTATCTGGGATTTTTTAGGCTAAGAAAGTATTTCACCACATTTTTACAGTATTTTTCAAATTGTCAAAATATGTGTTGAAATTATAAATAGTATTTAAAAAATATAAACAATGTTATCTGCCTTCAAAACAGCTCCATCACTGCTTGCTTCTAGATTAAAATTAAAGTACAAGTTGTTGCCTATCTTACTGCAAGCTTTTTTGCCCTCTCCAAACCTCATCCTCCTCTAGAGCCTGATATACAAAGTCTCTCTCAGTTAAGCAGGGCTAGAAGACTTCACAGGCTGACACAATGCATAAACAAGGTTAATTACCTTGCTCTACTTACCTGGAGAAAATATGCCACCTGCTTCAAGTTCCCTCCATCCATATATTATCCATAATTATAATCTAACCAGTCCAGATTAATATATCACACCACCACCTAAACTGACCAGGATAACCTCAGCCATTAGGTAACATGCAGCAATAAGAATTTTATTTTGAGGACAAAAATCAGAAGCCAAGTTTTAAATCAAGAAAGAAAAAAACTCTGAAACTTCAGGCAGCATTCTGAGTGGCTTCTTGGCATTCTGTGTACATTCTTTTTTCCTCCATACGGCCAAGTTTGCCTAGAGTGCAAAGATTTAGGCTGCGATGTTTACATGCCTGATGATCAGAATGATACTCAAATTAATTATAAACTATGGCTTTGCTATCACCAATGAAGGCAAATGCATGGTTAAATCAATTGCAAACATTAGGAATGAAAAATGGTATGTCACACACAGTATGACACCAGTCACATTTTTTACCCTGCAGATTATACTACGGCCTGGCAAAAGGGGACTGAGATACATTTTCGATTCTTTGCACAAAAAGTTCCCTATTCAAGTACAAGTAGTTCAACTCCAGAGGACTATTTACATGCTCAAAACACACGATGAAATAAAATAAGTACACTGGGTCTATAATCTTTGTCTGATGTTAATCAAGAAATGCGGCATAGATGAGAAGCCTCATAATCCCTTTTCAAAGATTATCAGGCAAAGTAACATTACTAGTTAAAAATGACCACATCCACAGCCTTAAAGAAGAGAAAAACGTTACCACATACATACACTCTGCATACTTCTTTCTCCACCTACCCTTTCCAAAGGGAATTATGTATACTATAATTATCCATATTTCTCTTCTCTGATTTGTTCCATTTTTTGTGCACATACCGAAGAGCTAAAAGAATATTCAGTTTGGGAAAAAGAGGTAGGAGCATTGTTTATCGAAACCTGAAAAACAGTGGCTATTTCCATGAATGCAAAACCTTATTTCAGCATCTCAAAAATAATTAAAAAAAAAAAAAAGACAAAACAAAACCTAAGCCTTTCCTCAAAGGCAAGTAAGCATACATTGCCTTCCCCTCCAATACATCACAAACAACTCCTGAGTTTTATGCCTGGGGATCTAAGGTATAATTCTAGGAGGGAAAGAATATCCTGTTGGTGCCTCAGCTAAGCCTGCAACCATCAGTTCTTTCCTCTGTTTCCCTTAGCAACTGTGGAAGTACTTCTCATTAACCTTGTCATTTCTTTTCTTATAAAAGCACATTTCTGTCTTTTACTCCTTTGTATTTATTCTATCTCTTAGCACTATTAATTTTCTGCAAGTAGAATATATTTTCTGATGCTCTCAAGGCCACTTCTGCTCTATTCTTACCCATTCCTCACTTCCAAAAAGCTGTATTTTCAGTCCTGAATCCTATCAGAATATCTTTGACAAAAGCCTACCTTTTATTCATTATTCTTTCAAGGAGGTTAAAAAAAAGAAAGTTATTTTAGGACAAATTTTTAACAGACTTTATACTGAAAATAATATTACAAGGAATTTTTTTTTTTTGGGGGGGGGCAGAGATTGCATGTATACCTATATACACACACACGTACATATATGTAGCCATACACATGTGGGACTTTTACAAGGAATTCATTAAACAAAAGGGATTAGGTATACAACAATATAGCAGAACCAGTCACATACGCACTGTAGTTTAGATTTCTTAGGAGATCCTTTGGGTAAAGCTGTGGCAGGAGGTCAATTCACCCTTTGTTGAACCTGTTGTGTTCCCTCCTATATAAGTCTATAGTGTTCCCCAGTTAATAAAATCTTACATGCAGTTATCCAATTTGGGTCAAATATCCTAAAATATTAATTCCTCATGTATTAGTCCTGCATCTACAGTTTCACAGGGCAGAGCACAGAGATGTTAGAAGTTTTGATCTGCATGAACAGCAGATTTTAATTCAGCGCATTTGCAGAGGAACACAGTATTTCTTCTGCGTAGTACACCCAAGCCAAACATGTTAAGATTAGTTGCTATTAACCAAAATGTAAGAGATGGGTATTTTAAGGTAATTGGCCACAAATGTTCTTTCTGCCAACAGTCATGGATGCCCTGAGCAGACGTCCTGCAGGAAGTAAATGGGGAGGGCTTTCAGAAGCCACTGCCCTCAAAGAGGGGTCTCAGCTAAAGCTGGCTGCCCTGCGCTGGCAGCGCCGAGGTCTCACCTGTACCATTATGTCGTGCCCCTTGCTGGGCAGAGGAAAAGTGAAGATAGTCAGGAAAGGAACACTTTAAACAGATGCTGTCCACCACTGCTGAGAAACATGTATGCCCACACCTTGGGTTCATCTGCACAAGAAGGTCGATATATAGAAGTAATTGCTATAATTTCACTTGCTACAGGAGACTGGTATTTACAGTACGCACATGTTAGCATTCGCCATGGCTGTGAGCCATTCCCCAGCTAGACCAATGATGTCAAGGCCACTAGAAAGTTGACTGAAGTAGTGAGGATGTCCTGAAATGACAGGCAAGTAAACCAGATTCTACGTAACAGATAGTTTTCTCAGCACAGTTTCTATCTTTTGTGAAGTGATTACTTAAAAGGATATGGAAATCAATATGGGACACAGGAAAGAGTATGTTTCATGGTAATGTTGGGCAA